TCGTCGCGTTGTGATGACGTCACATACGCGATTTCGTCGACCGCACTTTTGTGGAACGCGCTTTTGACGGGTCACGCTCTAGCCTAACCCTTTGGCAGAGCTTGTGGCCCCTAGAGAATGATCATCAAATATATTTATTTTCTCCATGCATGTTGGCTCCACAATCCCCAGGGCCAAAATCTATATTTCTAGAATCTTCTCTAAACCCCTCTAGAAACAGACCTCTGGTACACAGGTAGTCCTCAACTTAGGACCACCGATGGGAAAAGAATTTCCACTGCCAAGCAAGGCAATTGTTTAAGTGAGTCATGCCTGATTTTAAGACTCCTTTTGCCATGGTTGTTGAGTGAACCACTGCAGTTGTTGAGTGAACCATGCACTAGTCCAGCGAATCTGGCTTCTCCCATTGAATTTGCTTGTCAGAAGCCAGCTGGGAAGGTCACAATGGCAACCACATGATTCCTACATGCTGGTTGCCAAGCAATCAAGTTTTATCATGTGACCTTGGGAGATTCTATGATATCATAAACTTAATGATTGGTTGTAAGTCCCTTTTTTTCAGGGCTGTTGTAAGTTGAAACGGTCGCTAAATGAATGAGTGAAGGCAAATATATGTGTCCCAGGATAGTGTTGCAGGATCCAATCTGGGTCGATCACCGGGACCAGAGGTTTAGTCTTACAAGGTTTTGGACTCATGCTGGTTCCCATCCTGAGGGAACTTCTCTCTCACCAAAATGTATGATGTGTGAATGTGTGACACATTCTGGGGAGAGAGAATTTCCATCAGGATGGACTCCAGAAAGCTCAGAAGACTAAACCCAGGGGTGGGCTACTATGAGTTTGCGCAGGTTCGGGAGAACCCGTAGCTAACGTTATGGCGGGTTCAGAGAACCTCTAAATCCCACCCCTGGATGGCCCTCCCGCCCCGCCCCTCCACTCCCACCCTGCCCCTCCCAGGAGTCTCCACGCAGCCTGTTTTAGATGTCAGGTAAGTGCAGGGCCCGTGCGGAGGCTTGGGGAGGGGGGAAAATGGGCCTCCCGGAAATTCCGGAAGCCAGAAATCAGCCCGTTTCTGGCCTCCGGAGGGCCTCTAGAGCCTGGGGAAAACAGTTTTCGCCCTCCCAGAGGCTCAAAGAAAGCCTTCAGAGCCTGGGGAAGGTGAAAATGCCCCCCCCCCCCTTTTGGTGCAGGAGGCCAACTAGGCAATGCCCACCATGGCCACGCCTACCCAGCAACCGGGCAGAGAACCGTTGCTGAAATTTTTGACTAAACCTCCTGACTAAACCTCTGCTCCCGGTGACCAACTAAGATTGGATCCTGCAACTAAATGAATAGTTGTAATTTGAGGATTGAAGGTAAAGGTTCCCCCTGCACATATGTGCTAGTTGTTCCTGACTCTAGGGGGCGATGCTCATCTCCCTTTCTAAGCCAAAGGGCCAGCGCTGTCCGAAGACGTCTCCGTCACACCGTGGTCATGTGGCCGGCATGATTAAACGCCGAAGGCCCACGGAACGCTGTTACCTTCCCACCAAAGGTGGTCCCTATTTTTCTACTTGCATTTTTACGTGCTTTCGAACTGCTAGGTTGGCAGAAGAATTTTAGGATTACCTGTGCCCTTTTTCCATAATAAGGCTAACCAGATTAAGGCCTGTCGATGTCCCAAGTCGTGTGCCAATAACAACCCCTGTCAAAGCTAGGGTTATAGGAGGCCAGGAGATTAATCCTTCTCCTGCTACTGGCACAGAATAAAGTTCTACAACAGCTTCACAAAAGAGTGGGATCATTCGAGGAAAATCCATATGTCCCTCTCTACTTTCATTTTACTTCCTCACCTGTCTTGGCTGGACATCAAGAATGAAGCAACTGTGTGTTTGCACACTGAGGCGAGCATTCTCCAATAAATGGGTCACTGTGTTGCTGGTGCACAACCCCTAGCGAGGACTCTTGCTTATGTGGACATGTGTCCAAATTCACCCAGAGACAGAGGACAGCAATGCAGCTTGATGATTTGGGGGGGAAAAAACAACAAAAACCACAGAGCCACCTAACAGCCGTTGTATGTGTTTGTCTCCATGACTACAGAAGAGAAGGTGAAGTGGGAAACCCATACTGTAAATTCTCCAAGGTTTGCCACTGTCAAATTTTCCCTGGAGGAGAATTTTTTTGCCTTCCCCCCCTCCCCTCCCCACTCTCTAAGGGAACGGCCTGGATTCCTCTTCGCAGTCCTGTTTACTGCGTTGACGCCAGGGCGAGAGTGACGGTGTGAGTCAGCCGAAGTTCATCTTTATAAAGGGAGATCTGGTCAAGTTCATTCATTGTTAGCGCAGGTGATAGTAGCGATAGCAAAAAGCACCTTTCTCCATTGATGGAATTAGGGAAATTGCCCCAAGACGTGGTCATCGCGATAGGCACAATGCCAGCCTTCTTCTCATGCTACTTCAGGAGTCTCATCCCCGGTCTGGGAACGGTGCTTCTGCTTTTCATTTCCAGGGTGGATCCGTGGCCACACAGGGGTCATGACGTCCAGCTCCAGATAGAAGCTGTTAAGCAGAGCATCCTGGTGAGGTTGGGCTTGGAGATGCCTCCAACCATCCGCGGCCCCGTGGATCAAGAGGAGATCCAGAGGGCACAATTGCACTACCAGGAATTGCTAGCACAACTCCAAGCGAATCGAATGAAGCTGCCACCATCCACCACTCTTCATCTTTTGCGGCCTGAATGTAAGTGTTCATCTTTTTCAGGAGGGTCTTCCATGAATTGCGAGGGGGGGGGCATGTCTTGTATGCCTTTCCCTTTTTCTTGAGAATCCAGTGAATGGCCTCAGCTTCTGCTGCAATGCAGAGGTTTCCTTGAGCAGATAGATTAGTTCTTAGAAAGCAGCTGGTAGGGAGCTTGTAAGGGCTGGGTGCACATATTTTGTGTGTCTACGCCACAGGCTCAAAGGTTGCTTTAATGTTGATTTTCAGAAAATGTCAAAATTGAAGCTGTGCAAAGGAAGAGAAGACAGAGGCGAGAGGCCAGGACAGGTGAAACGCATACAGACATCTATATTTTATGAATGAAGACACGTTGAACATCTCTCTGAATTACTTTTCGTGTGGTCTTCCATTGTTGTTCAGACCAGAGGGTAGGGCATGGATTTAAGGTTTAATAAGGCAGATTTCAACTGCACGTAAGAAAAACTGAAATTCAATGAACGAACCATATACTCTATGAGGTGGTAGACATCCTTTACTGGATATGTTGAAGCAAAGATTACGTGATCATCTACTGTATGTAAGGTATGAAATATGGGTTCCTACACTGACCATGGAGTTGTCCCGAATGGCTCCTTTCAAGCCTGTGATTCTATAATCTTGTCTCAATATTTCATTTTATTTTATTTAACCAAACTTAGATGCTGCCCGTTTTGCCAAAGACTCAATACCCCTCAGTAAAAAAAAAGCCAATATAAAATATTAAAACAATAATTAGAGAAATTAAATTTAGATTTAAAAAATTAAAATCGACCACGATGGAGAAGAAGGGAACAAAATGCACATGAGGAGGGGATGGGGGGGTCTTATTTAATCCATTAAAGGTAAAGGTTCCCCTCGCACATACATGCTAGTTGTTCCCAACTCTAGGGGGCGATGCTCATCCCCGTTTCAAAGCCGAAGAGGCAGTGCTTTCTGAAGACGTCTCCATGGTCATGTGGCTGACATTATTAAACGCCAAAGGCTCACAGAACGCTGTTCCCTTCCCACCGAAGGCGGTTCCTATTTTTCTACTTGCGTTTTTATACGCTTTCGAATTGCTTGGTTGGCAGAAATTGGGACAAGTAACGGGAGCTCACTCCGTTACGCGGCGCTAGAGATTCAAATCCCCGAACTGCTGACCTTCTGATCAACAAGCCCAGCGTCTTAGCCACTGAGCCACAGAGTCCCTATCTAACTCATTAGCCACCTCCAAAATGTCATTTCCCCACAGACGGTCCAGTACTGTTGGCAGAGCCTTGACTTCCAGCCCTTTTGGAAGACCAAAATTTTGTGTGCAGACCTCGGCTTGGGAGGGCATATAGCTTCAAAAGTGAGCATTCTGAGTTGCCCCGACTCAAGTTATAGTGATATCACAATACAATATGTTTGCCTAACAATGATTCTTGTTCCTCTTGAGGACTTTATTTATTTATCCAGCAGAAATGATGCAGGTAGCTTTACAACCAAAACCAAAACCAACATTTAGATAATAAAAAGACATACTATCTTATGCCTGGATCTTGTTATTTCTTGTGTCAAACTGGTCATAAAGTCTGTCTGTCTCTCTCTCTCCCCCCCCTTCATTTATTCATCTATCCTGCCTATCACCGTAAAGCCAACAAAATCAATAATGATAAAAATGCAGCAATTGTAAGCATTGATTTAGTGCAACATGATAAAAATAACCTAACAATGTGTTCGTTATCTGAATAAATAAAAATGTTCTTGCTGGACAATTCTCCCAGCAGAATATATGCATCAAACAGTTGCCATTACAGTTCAACTCAGATAGTGGCATCATCTGAAAAAGTGTCTCAAAGTTTAAGGTGACTTGTGAGCTGACCAACAAGATCTGAGGAACGCTTGCATGAACTGGGTATGTCTAGTTTAATGAAAAGAAGGACCAGGGGAGACATGATAGCAGTCTTCCAATATCTCAGGGGCTGCCACAAAGAAGAGGGAGTCAAACTATTCTCCAAAGTGCCCAAAGCCCACCCACAATTTTCGCTACCGGTTCGTGCAAACCGACTCAAACTGATTGAATATCACCTCTTGTCTGAAGGCAGGACAAAAAGCAATGGGTGGAAACTAATCAAGGAGAGAAGCAACTTAGAAGTGAGGAGAAATTTCCTGACAGTGGAATTAATCAGTGGAACAACTTGCCTCCAGAAGTTGTGAAAGCCCCAACACTGGAAGTCTTTAAGAAGATGCTGGATAGCCATCTGGCTGGGACGGGATAGGTTTTCCTGCCTAGGCAGGGGGTTGGACTAGAAGACCTCCAAGGTCTCTTCCAACTCTGCTATTGTATTATATTGTATCTGTATCAAGAATTTATCCTGGATGTGAGCAAAGGATCCTCCGGTCTAACATTTTGTTCTAGACCAGTTGTCTTTGGGATGCTTAAGGCAGAAATATAATAATATAGTAATGTTGTTCTTATGTTTCCTTATATAAGGAATATACTGCTGACATTATGCATATCCATAACTGTTGACAATTTGCATTTCCCACAAATTAGTCTAGCTCTCCTTTTTTAGTTTAATTTAGTTGCAGGCTTTCAAGAATAGACCGAATGACCATTTGGCCAGAATAGTATAAAGTCTTGAGCAGGGGGTTGGACTAGAAGATCTCTGAGCTCCTTTCCAGCCCCATCACTCTATGTTCCAGAGTATCTGGAAGTAGCAAATTCCACAGTTCAAGTACTGTGTGAACCAAACAACGACTCCTGAACAGCTACTGCACTCTGAGCTTCTATTTTTATGGAGCTATTCAGTACAATCCCTGGTCATTTACTTCAGTGCATTATAATATATGAAGTTTGGACTTGCTCCTAAGCTCCATTTCTCGTATGATTTATACTTCCCACTTTTGTGAAGGGTGTTGTTGCTTCTGAGGCCACTCATGAACTTTGCTTGATATTCCCTTCCCATTATTAGCATTCTCCAAGAATTCAAAGATTAGTGAAGAAGCCACTTGGCATAGTGAGATGGACAGTATATACATTTAAATACGACACTATAAATATTTATTCTTTGTGTCAATCTATAGTTGATCTATTGTATTTTATTTTTTTGAATCTTTGGTTATTTTATCCTTAATAAAGCTTTCCATTTGCTTACTGATTAAGCAAATAAATCTACATTTTAAAATTCACTTTTATCCCACCTTTCTTGTCTTTTATAAAGACAGTGAACACAACAAAACCCTTTTCTTTTTCTATTTTCCTCACAACAACCTTGTGAGGTGGGTTGGGCTGAGAAAGCGTGATGGACTGAAAGTCACAAAACTGGCTTTGATATCTAAGACAGGAATAGAACTCACAATCTCCTGGTTTCTAGACCAGCACTTAACCACTACAGCAACTGCTCTTTCTTTTTCTGTCTCCTTTAGATCTGTTTTCTTTGTTGAAACTAGTATTGTATTGCTGCTACGCAAATACATAATTTAGGTATGTTTGTTAGAAATAATATGAAGGAAACCTGGAGAAATCTCTGAAATTTTTTTTTACCCCATCTACCCCTCATCACTCCTGATTCTCAAGCATCCTTTAAGGAGGCTGCAGCAATGAAATTGATTAATTTTAGGGTAGGGGGCTGATCTTGTATCTCTTGGACTGCACGTAGCCCTCCCCCCAAAAAAACCTTCGCTGCAGTTTCTGCTATCAAACTATATTTTTGTTTTCCCACCAAATGGATGATTATTAATTACACAAGGATATAGTGAAAGGAGTGACAGACTGTAGCGTAGGGCGTCTGCGCGACACTCCGCCGAGCAGCTGGAGCGTGATGCCTCCATGACGGAGGCGTCGCGGAGCATCGCAGACAGTAAGATGGACGCTGGGCCCCATTGCACCATATCAATTGCAACAGGATCTGGAACTCACCCCTGTTCGGTGGTCATATGACTGTGTGGCCATGGCCAACTCAAGGTCACTCATGTCGATGGGCGCTTTGTCTTAGCTGTTACTAAGTAATAAGGGTTAACAGGAGAGGCAGTTTCTGTAAGCAGGTCAATAAAGATTAGGCTAGAAAAAATGTTTCCTTCCTGTCTTCCTTACAGGATTAGCCCTGTAAAGTGGAAAAAACCAAAATGAGATTTCTTCCAAGAACCGTTTCTCCGAACTGCTTAGAAAGTTAACAACCGGTTCTCCTAAATAGGTGCGAACTGGCTGAATCCCACCACTGGTAATAAATAAATAAATATAGTGTAATTAATTAGTTTAATTGTTTTAATATAGTGCATTACACTTAACTTTACTAAAAACAAATTGAAAGTCGCTTTGACCATGTAGCAGCCAGAATATCATTTGAAGATCAAGTAATCTAAGCTCCAAAATGGTTGTCTATCCATTTCAGAAAATAGCAATATAAAATGGTGATTGAGTTGGTAGTTTGCTCTAGGGCAGTGTTTCTCAACCTTGGCAACCTTAAGACATGTTGACTTCAACTCCCACTGGCTGGGGAATTCTGAGAGTTGAAGTCCACACATCTTAAAGTTGCCAAGATTGAAAAGCACTGCTATATGAACCACACGGCTGGGTTACCAACAGTAACTTAGCAACTAAAGATAACCTGTTCTATCTGTCTTCCTCTCTGTACAGTTGTGCACACGAATGAGTCCACGTCTGGAAATCTTCAGGCTGCCACACATGTGCATCTGGAATTCTCCAGGACATCAGAACTTCATCAGAACCTCAACATTCTCCGGGCTGAATTGACTCTCTTCAAAGAATGGCTAGATTCTCCCAGCAACTCTCCATCCAATGTAACATGGCCAGTACTTGTGAATCTCTACCGACTGTCCAAAAGGGAGAAAGTAACCCCCGAGCTGCTCACTTCCCAAGAGATTTCAAGAACTTCACCAAGCCTCAGTCTGAAGGGTGTTGTAGAAGAATGGATAGGAGGTTTGGAGCCCAAGCTGAATCTGGGCCTGGAGCTTAGGTCAGACAAGGCTGCGTGGCTGGCTGCTAGCATCGCGGAAGAAGGGACAGGGATGCCATCCCTGACCATAGAGGCTGAATCTCGAAAGACAGTAAGGAAGGCCAGGCAGCTCGATGAGGAAGAATGCAGGAAGGGTGATGGGAAGTGCTGTTTGAGGTCCCTTAAGGTCTCCTTCGAGGCCATTGGGTGGTCGGACTGGGTGGTGGCCCCACGAAGCTACTCTATGAAGTTCTGCGATGGTTCCTGCCCACACAACTACAAACCAGCCAGCATGCATGCCCAGATCAAGGCCAGATTGCACAGCCTTTCTGGGGAGACTCCAGCACCGTGTTGTGTTCCCGCCGCCTATGAGCCGATGGTGCTGATGCATTACGGCAATGATGGGAATGTGGCCACGCAACTCTTTGATGACATGATTGTTACACGGTGTCACTGTGCATGAAGTTGGGGAGGGGGGACTCAAGATGTGCAAAAGCAATAATGGACTTTTTAAAAAAATAATGAACATATCGAGTTGAGCCCTTTTTGGTGTGGAAGTGGACATTTTCTCGGAAGAATAAGTGTCTTTTGCACATCCCGAGGACCCAAATTGTTGGGGGCAATATGCTGACTCTGTAAACCCCTTAGAGAGGGCTGTAAAGCTCTGTGAAGCGGTATGTAAGCAGTGGTGGGATTCAAATAATTTAACAACCGGTTCTCTGCCCTAATGATTTCCTCCAACAACCAGTTTACCAAATTGCTCAGAAAGTTAACAACCGATTCTCCTGAAGTGGAGCCAACTGGCTGAATCCCACCACTGTCTAAATCTAAGTGCTATTGCTATCCTCCCTGCGAACCTCTTTCATTCTTACATAGCAATTACTCAAGTCCCAAATCAGCTGCTCCTCTAGCACCTTTTTTTTTTCTTTTGGAAAACTGGGACATCTTCCTCCCAGCCAATCATCTCAGTCTATCAGGGATCATCACCCTGCAAGGCCAATCAAAGATCACAACAGAGGTGAGTTCCTACCAGTTTGGCCAGGTTCAGCTCAGTAGGTAGTAACTCGGTAGCCCACACACCCGAACTGGTTCTATTGTTGGCAGCACCATCTTGATTTTTGGTTCTGTGCGTGCGCAGAACAATCTCCATTGCAGAAATGTAACCACACACACCCCTTTTTCTAACATTCTGCGCATGTGCAAGTCTTTTTTGGTGTAAATGTGCATGCGCGCGGAGGGAAAAAAAAGGTAGTAATGCCGGTAGCAACCCACCCCTGGATCACAGGATGATATTCCACTGTCATTTATCATCATTTATCAGTGAATGATAGAAATGGAAATGGCATCTTCAGGTTCTGAATCTGGAGAAAAGATCTGGAGGATTATATTTTTTTAAAAAGGACTGTGCAAATACAGGGAGCTGCCGTGAAGAAGTCCTGGGCCATAGCTCAGAATTATGATTTAAAATTCCTACCTGGATTTATGTTTTTTCCCTAGTCGCATCTTTTTTGTTCTGTAATACAGAATTCCTCCACCATATGCCATAACTGAATGCCCCAAAAATGCTTCTTTCTGTTTCTTTCTTTTTATTATTATCACAAGTAGGTCACGTTTTTTGTAGGAGGGGATACAGATAATTTCAAGTCTCCTCCTGGATTTCTAAGGAACACGCACTTTACCAACCAAAATATTAATAATGTTCATAAGGAATAAATCTGTGTGATTTTAATGTGCTTTGGGGGGAGTGGAAGCTGATTGTCACTCTGCCTTCTAAGCACCCCTGAGGAAATTCAATTTGTTTCGTTGTTCTGACGTTTTTATCCTTTTGTCTTATTTATTTTAACTTATTCTTGTTTATATCAATATGATTTTGTTGTTAGTTTATATTATTTATAAGAGAAGATTTATTTGGAGCGGGAAGTTAATTAAGCAGGCAATAAAATTAGTAAATCAGGAAATAGGTCCGAGGTCTTGTGTTCTTTCTTCCAAAGGGATCAGCTGAGTAAAAACCATGGCTTTGGATGTTTCACTAATAAGAGAAACATTGAATGTACATAGGTTTATAAAGTTTAAACTTTCTCTGACAGTCACCCCCCCAAAAAAATCCATATAAAGCTTGGAGGGCCAACAGCCTTTTTATTTTTATTTATTAAATGTCTATACTTCCCACCTCACCTAAGTGACTCTTGGCGGTTTAACAACATAATTGTCAGGATTCCAAGTAATACACCCATAGCAAATAAAACTCCAAGGCAGGTAGATTCCTCAAAGAATAATTTTATTGGGTCTATCATATTGGCACAGTTCTGGTGTAAACCAACTCTGAAGGTTCCTACAGTTTTCACCTAATTAAAAGTAAACATTTTTCCCCTTCCCCAAACAATCAGTCACATGGTCCAATCAAGGAGCCATCCAGTTGCCTAGTAACATCACTCCTCCTCTCTCTGACCAGGTGTGAGAATACCCTTGGTTCCCAGGAGAAAGTATTTTGTTTTGGCTACAAAACCCCAGCTATCTCTATTCCCCCACTCCCAATCCCTCAGCTCCAGTGTGGCAACATTGAAGCTTCAAAATGGCTTTAGTCAAGTCATCTTCAGGCTTGACAATAATAAACAAAAACACTTTGACAAAGTGACAAAATTAGTGGACCAGAGGAATGCCATTGATATAGTTCAGACTTCAGTAAGGCATTTGATAAGGTAGACCATAACCTACTACTAGATAAAGTAGAAGAATGTGGACTGGACAGCATCACCACCAG